ACCCTCAGCGGGAGCGCCGCCGTGCTCCCAAGCGGCACACTCTCCAGTGCGCCACCGGGCCAGCCCGCCCAAGATAATTTTTAATTTAAAAAAAGATGCAAATTAAGACTGGACCCTTCTCCAAAATATGGATAAATATATGTATTCTGATAATGATTATCTGTCCTCTTTGGGGATAAATACTCTAGTAACTGGTGATACTTGCTTTGTTAACATTGTGGAATGAGGATCATCTAATATCTCAGTGTTCGCAGCCCTTAGGTGGGTGAGAAAGCTGTGCACTGGAGAGTGGGCAGCCGTCCAGGCCTGAGGACGGGCTGCCCTTGCTGCAGCGTTGCTCATTAACGGCTCAGCAAGGGTCTTGTGATCTTTGCCCGTGTTCTGTTTTCCTCCCATTGGCTTACGTCTTTTTCTACTGCTGTGTAATTCTAATGAGATTGCCCTGGGTCAATTTTATGGGATAAATGATGAGCAGTAGAAAAAAGAAAATTCACAGGATGGCAACATTTAAAATAAAAATTGTTATGTTGAANGCAGTAGAAAAAAGAAAATTCACAGGATGGCAACATTTAAAATAAAAATTGTTATGTTGAATTTTCAGAAGGAAAGAACAGAGCTGTGGTTACTAAAGGTGGAAAAGGGGGAGGGTAAGAGGGAAGGGGTTCGTGAGAAATTGGTTAATGGTCACAAAGAATGGTTATGTTTTGTAATGATGAACATGCTAATTATCCTGATTTGACTGATCATCACACATTGTTCACAGGTATTGATAATTCAACTCTGTACTCCACAAATATGTGTAATCATCTATGTTTCAGTAAAAAAAAAATAGATAAAATAAAATTTGTTTTTGGTCTTTGTCCATGAGTAGATTTCATGGTCTACAAACCACAAACATATGTGCAGGCAGGAAGGAAAATTTATTATCTAATATGAACCCTGGAAAAATTCTAGGGGGAATTTAGGGATCCTGTAAGGGTGATGTAGGATAAACATTTTATATTTAATTTGGGATTGCGTAAAACCTGTTCACAGTGGCCTGAAACTGTTCATTGTTCTTTAACAGTTCCATTCACTGGCTCCCATGTACTACCGAGGGTCTGCTGCGGCTGTCATTGTATATGATATTACCAAACAGGTAAGGACTCCTCCTTAGAAGTTCGGCACCAGCTATGGTGAGTCTGTCTTAGACCAAAGCAGAGACTCACTGCTTGAGTTGTGCCAGCATCCTGGAATGAGATTTCATAGTGTGGTAGTCGGGGATAGTGAACACTGAGTTTATTTCACCCAACGAAGCACCTCAGATTGATCTGCTAAATTAAATAAACGACAATAAACATTCCTTTTTAAAACTGACTGTTTGTAGAGGAAGGGTCATGCCTCCTAATTCTATGCTCCAGAATGTCAGCTTCTTAAGAAAAGGAAAATTACTTTAAGTTCTGCATGTTTTATAATTATAGGATACTTATTTTCTATTAGCGTTTTAGTCATGTTACTTAAAATGCCAAGGATAATGTTTATATATGTGTGTGTGTATATATATATGTGTGTGTGTGTGTGTTTGTGTATAAACAATATACATATATTTTTAGTTATCAGATTGAGGCTGTAGGATATCCATCAACAAATAGCCGCAGTGGTATGATGACATTTTTCCCCAATCCTGCAAGTTGAATTATTTACTTTTTTCTCTGGAGTGCTGACTCTGTGCTGAGACTGTTAGTTTAATGATCCAGCCTAGTTTCCATCCGTAAGCTCCTGACCACCTCTAAGTGTGTTGTCTTTCTTGGCTTGTTTCCTGGTGGACAGTTGTGAGTGAAGGGCCGAAAGGAAAACAGGACACTAAAAATATATATTTCTTTCCTGACATGGGTGTGAACACTCATTTAGTCCTGTTATCCTTATTCATGTGGAGTCGGGCCTATAGTTTTAAGCAAATATTATTTATAGAAGAAAATTACTGATATGATTTTCTTAATTTCATTAAGTTTTAATTTTAGAAAAAGGACCTTTAATAGGCTATTTAAGTATAAGTTAACTAATGTTAACTTTTGTGCCTAGATAGGGGTAGTATGTTAATCTGCGTGAGTCTTCTAAAAATATTTTTCTCCATTAAATTGAATTGAGTTTGCATTTCTATTTGGTTGAAATATAATATTGACAGGTCTTTCCAATGATTCATTTACACTTTTGGTTTAGGATTCATTTCATACTTTGAAGAAATGGGTCAAAGAACTGAAAGAACATGGTCCAGAAAACATTGTAATGGCTATTGCTGGAAACAAATGTGATCTCTCAGATATTAGGTAAGATGCATTTAAAAATTTTTTGTGTGTAGTTCATATCCTTCAGCCCTGAATGTCTGCAGGTAAAAAGGTATTATGCCTTTGTTGTTATGTCTGCTGTCAGTGTAATAATTTAATTGATGGCCATTCACAATGTGGTATTTATTCAATCAGAGTGGAATTAGGGAAAATGATAGGGAAATGCAAATCAGATGGACCATACGGTCATGAATATTGAAATCAAATCTCCTATACATAGCACAGTTACATCCCTGACTCTGGATATCTTTGAACTAGATTGTTTTATTATTTTGAATGTTAACTTTTCCATTGTTATCATTATTATCACCAGCACAATTTTAGTAACACTTCCATATGGTAATAACTATTAGAATTCTTAATATTTTCCATAGCATCCCTGCCCGTTATAGTTGTCGATTTTAACCTGAGGATATAGTCAAGTCTATAATGTCACTATGATGTATTCATTGTCTGTGAACACGTTGGCTTCCCCCAGTGACAATGGATTGTTGAACTTCCTTTACCTGGAGAGAGTTCACATGGATTAGAGACTTGAGAGTAGCTTTATCTAGCCTGGTAAGCTAACTATTTTACTAACTAAATATGTTAGAAAAAAGGAAATAGTGAATTTGTGTTGTCTTCATTCTCTTGGTTAATTTAATTCCCAGGAATTCCAGTAGTTGATTTTCATAAAGACAACTACATCATGCTTCTGGTTTTGCTAATCCAAATAGGATTAAACCAAAGATAAATAAACAGTGAAAATGGATCTTGCAAAAGTTCTTGACATGGCATTTGATAAATTGCTCTGTTTCTCTGGGATTTCAAAAACTTTATATCACATGGCACCGGGCTGGTTTATAATAACGGATGTGAGTACCACTTAGCCATTTGTTTTTCTGGAGGCTGGACAAATCTTTAAACTGCCCAGACTTGGTTCGGAATCTCCCTTCTTTACTGTAGTTCTGAGTCAGCTGGCCTGTCTGCTATTCCTAGCAGAATTGCTTGAAGTACTCTCACTGGAAGGGGTCGTGGGCGAGCAGAGACAGCCTTTGCTGAGAGACGGTGCTGCTGTCCAGCACCACCTAATCGTGGTGCTGATGGTACACCGTGAAGCAAAATCAAGCTTTGCATACGAGCATTATGGAATGCCGGGGGACTAGAACTTCAGCAGAAAGTGATTTGGACTTGTATGGTATAGGTTAGGATTCTTGGTTACATGGAACTGAAACCCAATTGAAATTAATTTCAGGAAAAAGGGGAATTTATTGGAAGGTCCTGGTATCCATGTGGTGAAAACCCGGGCTGCCTTTAGCCCTGATATTTGACATGTCTGGAGAGATGTTGGCATTCTCTCTTCCATGTCTAAAATGCCATGGAAGGATTTCCCCACATTATGACAGGTACCTGTGGCTGAGGGAGGGGATTTAGGTAGTACGAGATATTTTCCACTATAACCTTGAGAATAGAGGGTGGGAAGTCTTGAAGAGGGCACTTCCTAGGAAAGTGTAGCCTGGCCAGACAAAACGTATCTGCTGCGACACGTTGGCTTGGCTACCAACAATTAAAGACACTCCATTTCTCAGGATGGAATTCACCTTTCATGCACTGGTACAGCATTCTCCTCAGCGAGTGGTCTGGTCTGTGCCCCCTGGTCCCTCTATATGCAGTTTTCCAAATGCCCCAGCTGATGTAATCCATCCATCTCACTTTCAGTTATTCACTCACAACCCTCCATCCCATATGAGAGACAATCCATGATTCCTGGCTCTCTGGGTAATATCTTTTCTCCTCTGGTTTGGCCTCAGTGAGTTCTGAATGTGGCTCCCCAAGGTCCTGCAGTTGTGGTTTAAAGTGCGGAATTTATATCTTTTGTTACACACAATGTTATCTTAGATGGCACTTGTTATCGAACCACACTACAATGAAGTGACTCCCTTCATTTGACATCCCTTACTGCAGTTCTCCCTCAAACTTCTGATTGGCTCAACGAGAAAGACTAGTTTGATGCTAGTAAATTTCTAATTTGTAAACATCTTATATATTTTCCTGAGATAACTTACAAACATAAAATTCACCTAGTTTAAGTGTACAGTGAGTTTTAGTATATTTATAGAGTTGTGTAACATCATCACATCTAATTTTAAGACATTTCTATCTCCCTACATTGAACATCATGCCCACTTACAGTCACTCCCAATTTCCGCCTCTCTCCAGCTCCTGGCAACCATGAATCTACTTTTTTGTCTCTATAAATTTGCTTTTTCTGGATATTTTATATAAATGGAATCATACAATATGTGGTCTTTTGTGACTAGCTTCTTTCACTTAGCGTAATGTTTTTGAGGTTTGTCTGTGTTGTGGTTCATTCGTTTTTATGGCTGAATAATATTTTATTGTCTAGATTTACCACATTTTATTTATTCATTCACCAGTTGGCATCTGAGTTGGTTTTGGCTATTGTAAAAAATACTGCTATGAATAATTATGTCCAAATTTTGTGTGGATGTATGTTTTCATTTCTCTTGGAGTGGAATTTCTGGGTCATATGGTAACCCCGTTTAACGCTTTGAGGAACTCATAAACTCACAAAGTGCAGTATTCACATTTAAGTATCTCATCAATTTTGAGTTAATGTTTGTGTATGATGTAAGATATTTATCCAAATTCATCTTTTTCCATGTGGATATCTTATTGCCCCAGCACCATTTGCTGAAAAGATTTATTTTCCATTGAATTTTTTGGTCACTTTACAAATTTTTAAAGATTAGCTGACCATAAATGTTGAGCCTTATTTTTGTGCTCTTAATTTTATTCAGGTGATCTACATGTCTGCTGTTATGCCAGTGCCATACCGTTTGATTGCTGTAGCTTTTTGTCTTAAGTTTGAAATTGGGAATTGCTAGTCTTCCAACTTTGTTCTCTTTTTCAAGATTGTTTGGCTATTCTGGGTCCTTCACATTTCCATATGAATTTTAGGATCCACTTCTCAATTTCTGCAAAAACAAACAAACACATGGCAACTGGGCTTTAGCAGAGACCAATCTGGGTATTATTGCCATCTTACAATCTTAAGTTTTCCTGTCCATGAACATGAGATGTCTTTCCATTCTATATAAGTCTTTAATTTCTTTTAGCAATGTTTTCCCATTTTCAGTGTACAAGTCCTACATTTTTTTTGCTATATTTATTGCAAAGTATTTGATTTTTCTTGATGGTATTATTTCATTTATGGCATGGTTATTGCTAGTGTATAGAAATACAATTGATTTTGTAGGTTTATCTTGTATCCTATGACCTTACTGAACTCATTTTTTAGTTCTAGTTGTAGTTTTTTAGTAAATTCTTTGGAGTTTTCTATATACAAGATTATGTTATCAGTGAATAAAGACAATTTTACTTCTTCCTTTCCAATATGGGTGCCTTTTATTATTTCTTTTTCTTCTCTAATTGCCCTGGCTAGAACCTCCAGTACAATGTTGACTAACAGTGGTGAGAGCAGGCATTTTTATCTTCTTCCTGATCTTAGGGGCAAAGCATCTAGTCTTTCTCCACTAAGTATAATGTTAGCTGTAGATTTTACTTAGATCCTCGATATCAGGTTCAGGAAGTTCCCCTTCTATTCCTAGTTTATTGAAGGGTTTTACCATGAATGAACGTTGGATTTTGTCAGATAATTTTTCTGCATCTTTTGAGATAATTATGTAGTTTTTTTGTCCTTTAATCTGTCGTATTACATTAATTGATTTTTGGATGTTAAACTAACCTTGCATTCCTGGGATAAATCGAACTTGGCCATGATACATAATCCTTTTTAAACATTGCTAGATTTGGCTTGCTAGTATTTTGTTAAGGATTTTTTTGACTATATTCATGAGGGATATTGGTCTGTAATTTTCTTCTCTGTAATGTCGTTGTTTGGCATTGGTATCAGGGATACAATGAATGAGTTAGGAAGTGTTCCTTCCTCTATTTTGTAGAAGAGTTTGTGAAGGATTGGTGTTAATTCTTCTCTAAATGTTATGTGATTTATTTGTGCAGTTCATAGTATTTTCTTATCCTTTTAATTTCTCTAAGGTCAGTAGTGATGTCTCCTTTTTCATTTCTAATTTTAGAAATTTGAGTCTTCTCTCAGTTCTCATTCAGTCTAGCTGAAAGTTTGTCAATTTTGCTGACTTTTTCAAAGAAACAATGTTTCCTTTTTTTCCTATTTCATTCATTTTCCCCCTCATCGTTATTATTTCCTTTTTTCTCTTTGCTTTGTGTGTGCTTTGCTCTTTATTTTCTAGTTTTTTAAGGAGGGAGGTTGGGATTTTTTAAAGTGGGCATTTACAGCTATAAATTTTCCTCTAAGCACTGCTTTGGCTGCATCCCGTAAGTTTTGGTGCATTGTGTTTTTAATCATCTCAAAATATTTTCTAATTTATTTTCTAATTTATTTACTGACTGATTATTTAGTAACGTATTGTTTAATTTTCACATATTTATGAATTCTCCAAGTTTCTGACTGTTGATTTCTCATTTAGTTCCATTATAATCTGAAACATACTTTGTATGATTTTAATTATTTTAAATTCATTGAGATTTTTATGGCTTACCATATGGTCTAACCTGGAGGATATTCCATGTGAGCAAGTAAGTTTGTGTCACCTCTTTTTTATACTTGCTATTTTCCTTTTGAGAAATGGGTTGAGGAGCCTAAGGTTGAGGGCCTTCTGCAGACAACTATATATAGCTAGAATTGAATTATATTTTATCTTTATTGCATTTATTTTTTAGGATTACATCCTTTTTATGACAACTGATACTAGTGTTCCATTTATGATGGTGATAAAACATTTCTTTTAAAATGTTAAAAGAGTTGATCTATGCACACGACATGATGGTATACATAGAAAATCCCAAGGAATAAAGCAAAAAAACTTCTAAAACTAATAAGTGGGTTCAACAAAGTCATAAGATACAAGATCAAACAGAAAAATAAATTATATTTCTATATA